TTTAATATCTAAAATCACTACATATATATGAGAGAGAAAAACCGGCTCTATTCTTAGCCGACTTATCTTACCTTATATCAAGTAGCACTACATATGAGAGAGAAAAATTATCCTCTGTTGCATAATTGATGAGCATGTCAATACCTTATCAGTCCGCCATAACTGTTCAAAAACGCACTCAATTCTTCCACGCCGAGAGGTTATGCGCCATTTAGTTTCCTCTAAACAGTTCTTTGATGTCATTGTTGTTCTGTTTTAATTGGTGATGCATCGAGAGGGTTTTCCACATCTTCATCACTTAATTATATAATTCCGTTTTAATTTGCTTTCCACAGTTAGATGTTAGGATTCGAGTTTTTTGTTTATACGGAGTATATCTTTTCAAATGCAAGAACTTTTGCTTTGCAGGTGTATTATTATAAATAGTGTGAACTTTTTATTCGCAAGTTATTTTCATTTATCTAAATTCAATTTATTTGATTTGACTTCTTATTCTAGTTGATAATCGACTATAGTGCTTCTTTCATGGTCCATTTTGTAGTAATAATAATAAAAATAGTAATAATAATAATTATTATTAAGAATAGTAATTCATAATATGATATTCATATGTGAATTTGTTATTCAACCAATAGTGTGATATTTTTCAACTCTATGGACAATATTTTACAAAATAATATGATTCACCTCAGAAAATATTATTTCAAGGAGACAATGCGTATTATGTATATATGTTAATTTTTAAAGTAAATTTTACATTATTTCAATATTGCCATTATTTTATATAATTCACATATATATCTAGTTAACAAAAAAATTAGAGCATGCTTCTAATTATATTTACCACATTCGTATGTGAAGAAATTAATCAGCGTTCTAGCCTTTGAATTGAAATAACTCTTCTTTATTAGTACCTGAGTAGATTCCATTATAGTTCTATTATTAGCACACCAAATTCTTCATCGAGTATTATTGTGACCTCTCACTTTTATATACCATTTAATGGTATCATATTTGAGTATAATAAAGTGAAATGTTGCAGGCCACGTATTCCTATTCTGAAAATGAAATGTGAGATTTATATTTCCCATTTTATCAATAGTTTGACATTTTTTTTACTATATGGACATTGTTTTACAAAAATGATATGACTCACCTCTAAAAATGTTATCTCATGGAAGGCAATGCATATCATGTATGTGTGACTTTAGTAAGGTTGGCATTATTTTAACATTTTAACTTTTTTTTAAGATTGTCATTGTTTAACAACGGTAAAAATTTTAACAAAATGTGACATTTTATACATAGTACCTTTTACTGTCACGTGTAAAAAATTTATTCCCTAGAACGACACTTATATTTAAATTTCACATTCTACAGATAGTGTGACATTTTTAATTAATTTCACTCTCACACAAGACCATATTTAAATACAATAGAACAAATATAAATAATTTAAAGGGTTTTAATTAAATATGCTTTTAGCCTTTAGAAATGTACATTTTGTTTATATCCCTGCAAATAATTTTGCTTAAAAGTCATATTTTTATCTATTATTCTTATTTTGGTCATAATTTATAATTCTTTTTACTACTTCTGTCCCCCCTAATATTGGAACAAAAGAAAGTGATGTTATTTTTAAGAAAAGTTTAATTATGTGGTTGATAATGAGTTTATAATTAAAGTAAGAATGAATTAGAGCAACACAAATATGACCAAATATAGTATGAAACAAATTTAGTGGGACATGGGAAAATAAGAAAAGTGAGACATTTATTGTGAGACGGAGAAAGTATTTATTTAATGCCGAAAAATCCATATCGATGTTTGAAATAGAAATGTTGCTTAATTAATAAACCTTCGATTTGTTTTTAAATTTTTTTTATATGCAATTTTGATGTCAAATGAAAGATCTTGAAAAATTATAAAATTTGGTATATTTTTTGTAAAAATTGAAGTAAAAAAGAAAAAGTTATAACATTTTAAAGAAAAAAAGGTTTTCATACTTTGGGGCCGAGAATTGCATTTCTTTTTATTTGACAAAAAATGCCTCCATTGGTGTTTAGGTATGTAGAATGAGCCACATGGCATCTCTATAATAAAGGAGTGAATATAAGAGTTTTTTACCTAAGTAGGACTAATTGTACTTTAATGTGCACAAATAAGACTTCTTCCGTGAGTCAAGTTTCATAGGATTAAAAAGCTGATGATCTTCCAATTTTAGCCTCGATATTAAATTAATTGACTTTTCAGCCTAAGGAAGTTTTCGAAAAAACCGGCCAGAATCCTGCGAGGAGAGAGGGCGAAAACATAGGGAAACGCGGCGCGGCAATTATTATGGTCTGTTTTTCCGGCGCAAGGCTCGGGAATCTAGTTTCAAAGGCAACCACCCCATTTACTCAACCCCGTTCTGCCATCCGGAAAGTGCAACATGGATTCCGAGAACTGAGCGTAAAAAGGTGGAAGACGAAAACAAGGGAAGCAGTTGAAGCGCGACGATGGCCGGTGACGAGGTTCCGAAACAGAGGCGAGGACAGCAGACAGAGCGGGAGAAAGCAGATCTGGTATGTTGTACTTATGAACATCAATTTATGTGTTTACGGCCGATATTGTGTTGCAATTGTATGTGTTAGTAAATAATGGAAAAGAATGGCATATGTACATGACTTTGGAACGAAAATCTGGAAGATTTTGTTCCCAGTGTTCAATACAAATTGTGAAATTTGTTATGATGATAAAATGCATGCAATAGAATGGCATATTTACATATAAGTGGTATGAATATTTTAAATGGCATAAATGGCAGAAACTATGTTGTTCAAATATATGACAATTCGTTCATGAATGCAATTTGAAAAATTGATAGGATGTATAGACTTTTAAAAGCACTGTCAGAGGTGGTTGTAGTTGATTTTGCCAAAATTTAGGCAAATGAACTAGAGGAAAATGGCAGAATCTGAATAGGTTTAAAACGTTGATGGCAGATATGCCGTAAAATGAAAGTTGTACAATGAAACATGAAATTTGTACAATGAACCATAGGTTTAAAACCTTGATGGTTACTATGGAGAAAAAGTTAGAAGTCAGATATGTAGAACGGAATAAATGTCAGGTAGTTGTGTTTTGGAAGAAATGACAAAAGTAGTGGCTTAAAACGAAAGTTGTACAATGAAAACATGGAAGAACTTGTAGTATGGAGAAAAAATTGGAAGTCAGTTTTTTGGAAGAAATGACAATTTAGTGCTAAGCTATTGAAATATAAGTGGCAGAAAGTGAGTGTGAACTTTTTAAAATTTGAAAGCTTCACAGCAATGACAATGAATATCTGGCATGTATCTTGGACATTTGCACATGATAGTTGTATTATTGATTACACTACTGTAAAAGAAATGTGTGAAATGAATGGTTTTGTGTTTATTTAGGTGATACAGAGAAAATTTGGAAAGAAACAACTGCAAAATGTAGAAAGCATGAGAATTAATTGCTATTGCAGTTTGAGTGAGGTAGTGAAGAGGATAAAACAACAACTTAAAGCTGAAGAATTGGTTGAATTCAGGAGAAGTGTATTTGGTTGGGTATTGGATGTGGAAGAGATGCGCACAATTAGTGGGCAACTTCAACTTGGATTTCTGTGCAACTACGTAAAAAAGGTGAATGGGAGGAAAGAGCTAAATGCCATTCATTTTCATATTGAAAACAGCCTAGTTACTTTCAGAAAAAATGATATGTGCATGACTTTGGGTCTTAAATTTTGGAGGAGTTAAACCACATGTAGAAGAGAATTTTAGGGGGGCGTTGTGGAAAAAGTATTTTGGAAACACATCCGGGGTGAGAAGAAGTGATTGTCAAAATGCTTTAATGAATTACAATAGTGGAGACCCTGACAATGACCAAAACGATGGTGTGAAGCTTGCATTGCTCCATGTGCTGTCACATGGTTTGTTTGGGAACCACACAGCAAGAGAATTACCAGCAATGTATGTGAATTTGGTTGAAAACTTGGATGATTTCAATGAATATCCATGGGGGGATGATGTCTGGGCTGAGTTGGTGGATAACATGAGGACCAATGCCAAGAGTTTAAAGAAATGTAAAGGGACACGCGTCACACTGACAGGATGTTTAATTGCCATACAAGTTTGGGCATTTGAAACCTTCACAGGACTGGCCAAGGCAGATATATGCAGTGTGATTGAAGGGCGAGAGACTCGAATACCAAGGGCTGTGAAGTGGGAATTTGTAAAAAAGCCATCACTGGAAGTTTTGAGCAAAATCATTTTCAAGAATGAACAGGTAATAAATAGCATTTAGTTGTTAATTACTATGTAGGAATCTGAAAAGATGGTCTTTGCATTTTAAATATAAATTGTTAATTTTATTTATTTTGCAGTTTGAGTGGAAAAGGATGGAGCCTACAAATGTGGAAGGTGAACATTTTCCAATTTTACTGTCCAAGCAAATGAGAAGTTCTGTGAGGAGGAGTAATCCTGGAATTGCTGGGGGATATAGGGTTGATGGGGTGAAGGTATTTCAGAAAATAGAGAAGAGGGTAAAGACCAAAAGTGCAGCCACAGTTTTGGAAAAGGCCAAAAACAAAAAGTTGGAAGAAAAAATGGAAATTGAGGATGAAGGGGAGGAGGACGAAGAGGAGGATGATAGTGGTGGTAAGGTGGGTTTTGGAACTGCCAGAAAGACAGATTTGACACTGAGAAATGTTAGGAAACTTAGCAAGGAGAATGTCAAGATTATGGCAGAATTAAAAAAAGTTAGGAAAACCCAGAAGAGGCAGGAGTTGTTGCTCAAGCAGTTGTTGGAGGCCATGAACAGGAAGGATGAGGCGGAGAGTGAAGGGGTTAGCAAGGAAAGCAAAGAAAAAAACAACACAGAAGAAGGTGATGAAGAAGCTCAAGGAGATCAAGATAATGAAGGAGAGCAAAACGCAGGTGATGGAGATGATGGTGCAGTGATCAGTAGCATGCCAAATTATAACATATTTGGTCCACAAACACAAGAAAAATTCCAGGAAGCAGAAGTAGAAGATGGAAGTGAAGAAAATGTGTTAGAGAGGACTAAAGAAGTAGAAAAGGGCAAATGTGGGGAGAAGGAAAAAGCTGGGGGAAGCAACAAACAAAATCACGAAGAAGGCATGAGGGGTGTGGAAGAAAGTGTTGGCAGAGGGGTGAACAATGAGGAGGAAAATTGGGAAGATTTGAACACCCAATTTGTGAATGAGTTAATCACAAGTGTGGATGAAGTGGAGAAACTTGTATTAGGCGAAAAAACTTCAGAGGAGCATAGTCGAAAGGGAGAGGTTCATAACAACTCACTTTGACTTGTATTTTGATATATATATATCTGTTAATATTAATTTATAATGGCAGAAAGTTGCAAGTGTGTGTGTCCAGGAGATAGCGCAAGGAACTGGAAGTACAAGTGTTCATGCAGACGTGAACATAGAAAAGAGTGTAAGTGGTGTTGTATATAATTATGAATATAAATGCATAAAAGTGGAATATTAGTTCAACTATATTGTTTTTTTGTTGATGTGCAGGTTGAGATCACATGTGGTGCCGATACAAGACCTAAACGAAATGCAAGATCACCAAACAAATATACACCAGCAGAGAATGTGGTGGCTGCAAAGAGGAGACGGAAAGAAAGAGCGAGAAAAAGTGAGGAGGACCACTTTTTACCGGCTAGAAAGTATGGACCATTTGCAGAAAACCCAACTGAATCTCCACCGGAAGAAGAAGTACGGAAGTTAGAAACTTATCTTCAAGTTGGACTATTGAAGAGGGCAACAAAGGAAGCAGGTGGCAGAAGATACCGCAAAGATGAGGACAACATGAGAGGCGTACCATTTATTCTGGATATGGCAAAGATGGAATCAAAAACATGGTTGTACAAGTTGTTAGTCAATCCAGAGTGGCTGGACGAGATGGTAATGTTTCTGACTGATCACTTTTAGAAATATAAAAGCTTAAGTAGAATGTGGATCATAAATCATGACAATGTATGTTTTATATATAAAAAATTCAGAAATATTCTGTGATTAATTCTTTGATTTTGCATTTGTTCTTAGCACATTTATGCAGGGATGTACTACTTGAATGTCAAGCAAGTACAGTACACGGTGCAGCACCCCTACAGCACTAGTGGGCCTTACTTTCTACAAATGCTGAGACGTCAAAATGAGAAGATAGAAAAAGGTGAGACGACGATTACAGAAGCAGCGAACATTGCAGTGATTGAAGACGAAATTCAAGGCAGTGCTTCACCATTCTCTAGGAGTTGGGCAGAATCTGAGTTCGTATACCTCCCGCTTAACAATAGCAACCACTGGGTGTTACTTGTTTTGGAAGTTAAAAAAAGAAAGATACGAGTTTACAACTCCAAAACCAGACGGGCTGATAGTTTAAGAGACATTAGATCGTTTGTAGAGAGCATACAGTGGTTGCTGCCAAAAGTCATGGACGTGCATGGTGTTTATGATGAAATTGGGTATGAGCGTATGGGTAACGAAGTGTTAGAGTTGGAGCCTGCCGAGGATTGCCCACAGCAAGAAGACGGGTAAAATATGTCGTGTATAGTATTTTTCAGAAACATAATATTAATATGTAATACAAAATGATTTATTTCGTATTGGTGCGTCATGATTGTAGGGGAAACTGTGGCATGTACGTATTGAAGATTGCCGAATTTTTGATGATGGGGCTAGATATAAAAGAGATCAAGTCAAAGGACATGGCCATGTATAGGCAAAAGATGGCCACAGAGTTAGTGTTGTATAACAACAAGAGGATGGAGGAACGCAAAAAACAGAAGCAGGGACCGAGGAGTTGCATTTGAAACTTGAATGAAATGTTGTTTTTTGAATATTTACGTTTAATGTTTGATGTTTGACTTACAATGTTGACTGAACGTTTTGCATAATGGTGTAGTATGTCCTTGACTCCTTTGAGTAATATTTTGGATTTAAATTTTATGTGTAGTTGTTTGCTATTAAATCAAAGTGGAAAAGTTTCCATAACAGACGTATGCAAACGTAGTATTTCTGCCATTAAATGTAATTTAAAATGCCTTTTTTATGGCAATTTTGCACTGTTTACGCTTATATTTTTAAATGGCAGAATGTTAGACTACAATGTGGAATGGCTCATTGATATGTTGAGATCAACATTGTACAATGTATAATTTATTATTGGCAGTAAAGAAATTGTGAACATTACATTTGTTACACATATCAATTGTGTTTATTTGACGTGTAATGCCAAAACTATGGCATATATGGATGAAGCATGATAACTGTCAACATTGATTTGTAGAAATTTAATTAAAAAAAGGTACAATTTGTGGGTTGTATGGTACTAATAAAGATGGCAAAATGACATGAACATTGGTGGAATTAAAAATATGATATCCATCAACAATAGTGCAAAACACGTAATCGTATAAAGGAAATTAAAACATCATGTAATCCAAATACATGAATTCAGGAAACTACTGGCTCTAAATTGTGCATAAATTTATGTAATCAACATGGACATTTCAAAACAATGACACCATAATTAAAAATTCTTAAAGAAGAAAACTTAAAAAATACATCAGGCATTTGATATGGGCAGTGGATTGCGGCAGGTTTTTTTGTTGTGACCAATAGCATGACAGCGGGAACATTTTTGACGCTTCGTACGACGATGTTCACCAATTGATGGGATTCTTGACTTTTTGGGACGACCGGGTGGTCTTTTTTGACACGAAGGCGGCTTGCAACGAACATTCAAAACATCAGGAGGAACTGACCAAGACTCCACATCACAAATAGGGTGCATAACGCCACTCCAGGTGGACAACCAGTAATCTCGAGTGTAATATTTGGATATATAATCATAGCATGACATCGCTGGCCTGGTACCAATAGCAGCAACAGCATGCACACAAACAAAATGAGACAATTGAAAGACCCCGCAACTGCATGTCTTAGAATTCAGATCAACTATAAATGACCGACAATGTCTATCAACCACCTCAAATTCTGTATAAGATGCTGGCTTCACCTGATGTTGTTTTTAAAAAAGATAAAAAATAATAAAGTTAAATGATGGATATTCACAGAAATGATTTGGGGGATAAGGTCTGGGAAACATGGAAGAGGGATTGCGATCGTAACCAAATGTCATATTTTTGGAATTGCTGCCAGGTATAAAATACAATAACTGAACAAATAATTAAAATCAAATGCATATTTCTTGCGAATAAATGTATACGAATTTAGCACACATTGAGTTACCTGCATCCTGCAAGCTTGTCCTTGAAGGGCCACCAAATGCTTCTCATGTGTGGGAGCCAAAAATGTACGTGTTTTCTCAGCATTTTCCTTCCTTTCTGAAAACCATTGCTGCATTCTTTCCCTCAAGAAATCCACGAGTTTTGATATAGAATACTCTCTTGCAGACACATTGACGTTGTTCATAGATTCAGCACAGTTGGAAGTCATGATATCGTATCTCCTAGGACCAGACATGCACTTGGCCCACTTTTCAAAACCAATCTTCTCAAGCCAAGGTCGTATACGAATATCCTCAGAATCCAACAAGGACATATATTCCTCAAATTCCTTGAGTGTCGATGCCATGTAGGCAGCCTTGAATTTCCAACCCAAATTCTTACCCGCGCCCCTAAACTTTGGAACCATGTTACGCCGAAGGTGCTCCACACAATATCCATGAAGAGCATGAGGGAAAATATCCTTAACAGCACTTAGAATACCTTCATGTCTGTCAGATACAATAAACATATCAGGTCGGAAGGTTATACTGTCACACACTTGGCTCAAAAACCAATTCCACGAAGCTTTGGATTCGGAATCACATATTCCAAAAGCTAAAGGTACAATATGACCGTTAGCGTCTTGGCCACAAGATGTTAGTAGTGTCCCCTTATAGTATGCCTTCATAAATGAGCCATCAACAATTAAAACAGGTCTGCAAAAATCCCATGCCTGCCGCCAAGGTGAAAGACACATAAAAAAGTAACGAAACTCATCTTCATCACCTATTATTAAAGAAATTGCAGAATTCGGATTTCTCTTTTCTAGCATATAAGACATGGAAGGTAGTTTCTGATAAGACTCAAAATCAGATCCAAATTGCCTTTGCATGGCTAGCTTTTGAGCTTTCCATGCTTTCTTATATGACATGGAAATGTCATGGGCCACACTCATGTCTTCCCGGATTAGATTTGGTGCATACGGTTTCCTTGATGCATCAAAAAATTTATGGGAGATTAGCTCAGCAACGATGCAATATGTTGCTTGTCTCTGTTTTCCTTGTCTAAAGTCAATGGAGCAGGTATGTGTGGAGTCGAACCTGCAATGAAAAAATATATGTCATGATGGAAGAAATGCCACATATGTGGAATATTAATACAAAAGAATACAGGTAAAAAAAGATAACATGGGAACATACCTTCTAATCTGAAACATTTGAACACCACGTAACTTGACACCCCTCACAGCCCATTTACAGTTGTCATCACAACATACAACATGCAATACCCCTTTCTTTGATGTAAGTGTTCGGTATTGAAAGCCATTATCAATCGCATACAACTTCAAATGGTGACTGAGGTCAAACTTAGAATTATATATGGCATACTTCATGATCTGTGTTGGATGATAGTGGGTGATAACTTCAACATTATGATGGAAGGAAAATGACTCAGTAGAATGTAAATGAGTAGGAGGTGACTGACAAGGGCTGACAGAAGACAATGGACTATGACATACATCATCATTGATTGTAATGGGACTAGGAGATTTTTGTGTGAGATTGGATTCATGTTGAACAATAGTGTAAGAGTTGGAATCAGATTTTTGTCCACTAATGTTATCATGTTCCTCAGAAGAAACATGAGATGGTGAAGCATAAATAGGTACAGTATTTTCCGTAGCAGGCACCAGGCAAGGAGTATAACCATGAATTGAGAATTCCACACACAATGGGTACTTGATGAAATCAGTCTGAAGAACCTTAAGGTTGAGGAAAAAACGGAAACTGGCTTCATCATTGATATACACAAGTGGAGGGCAACCATCAACCATGTAAGATAACTTCAACTCACTTGTTGCATTGTAAGAATCACTTAATATGGAAGAAAGTTGCTCTATAAAGTCTTTGTATGTAGATGAGTAAAGAACTTGAATAGCAAAGGTGAGGTTACTGTTGAAGTTATAGTCATTGGTCCAACTTCCACCCAACTTCAGCATAATCATAACAATGGAATCCATATGGATAACTAGATAAATAAATATAAATTGTTCAAATAAAATGAAAAACAATATGACAACTATGAATACACATTATGCCAAGATTATGTCATTAAATTCAAACTGAAAACACCAAACACAGAATCCCAGCCAAAACTCAAATGATGACCATGAGTACACATTATGCCAAAATTATGTCATTAAATTCGAAATGAAAACACCAAACACAAAATCCCACCAGCAAGTCAAATGATGACTACGAGTACACATTATGCCAAGATTATGTCATTAAAATTCCAACTGAAAACACCAAACACAGAATCCCAGGCGCAAGTCAAACGATGACCATGAGTACAACCATGAAGGATAAGCGCATATATGTATACTGAATGACATATTTTCCAGATTTCAACACATACATGGAACATGATTTTAGGTTTCGGAATGTATAACAATGACAAATAACAACAAATACATTAAACTATCCTTCAATTGTCGC